AAGACATCTGAAGGCAGCCCTGTTTAGGGAAGTTTCTAATATTTAATAGGTTATTGTATTTTAGTGTTTGTTGAAGCCACCAGAGTGGCTGGGGAAACCCAGCAAGATGTGCGGGGTATAAATAATAAATTATTGTTATTATTATTATTATTATTATTATTATTATTATTATTATGGAAAATAATTACTGCGACTTTAACTCTACGTTACACCAACAGACGCAACATGTACGAATGGTTTTTCAAAATTCTCTTCTCTTCTTTATGCTTCCACCGCCCCATTATTTCTATTCAACGCCCGCGAATTGCACCCGAGGAGACTACCAACCCTCTGGATCGTTCCAGCACACACACCCCACTACCACTGTTCTAGACTGTTCTAGACTGAAAGATGAAACACTGTTCTAGACTGAAAGATGGGGAACCTCAGGCAAGGATTGGGGGCCAGAATGTGGCCCTCAGAGCCTTTTCGCCTGGCCTCTTACACCCGCCTTGCCGGGATGCGTCCTTTAACTCTGACCAGTGGGGAAAGCTGAGAGGCGAGTCACAATGGAAGCCTGGGGGTGGGGCACATTCCAGAGGTGGGTGTGGCCTGAGGAAAAGTGGGCGGAGCATCACAGGTGAATTTCACTTTTGTACAATGAACTGGGTTCTACTTTCAACACACCTGTATCCTGCATCTTCACAAGCAGGAGGCATCATCAGAATTCATTTCATTATTATATTTTATTTTAAAAAAAAATTAAATCGCACATCCACTCCAAAACAAATAAATTTTCCTTTTCTGTTTTTGACTTCCCCTCCTGTTGTCGCTTGCTGCACCCAGTTTTCTGTCTCTTATATCATAACCACCACACAATAATCTCTAATTCCTTCTGTTGCTGATAGTTCAGTTCCTGCTCATGAATTCTCCAGACTATATTTCTTTAAATACAGTCATACCTCGGGTTACAGCTGCTTCAGGTTTTTTCAGGTTACGCGCCCGCCGAAACATGGAAGTACCGGAAAGGGTTACTTCTAGGTTTCGCCGGTCGCACATGCACAGAGCGCTAAATCGCGCTTTGCGCATGCACAGAAGCACCGAATCGCAACCTGCGCATGCACAGATGCGCCGCTGCGGGTTGCAAACGCTGTGGGTTGTGAACATGCATCCCGCACGGATCACGTTTGCAACCTGAGTGTCCACTGTATTCTGAAAAAAGCCTTCCCATCATCAGAATTCAAGGGAGCTTCCCAGCCAATGGAATGCGCACGGCAGATAGTTAAGAATTTATTACCAAAAATAACATATACAGAGGTACCTCTGGATACGAACGGGATCCGTTACGGAGCCCCGTTCGCATCTAGAAGTAAATGTAACTAGCAATGGTACGTCTGCGCATGCACGCGTTGCTTTTCGCCGCTTCTGCGCATGCGTGTGACGTCATTTTGAGCGTCTGCACATGCGCAAGTGGCGAAACCCGGAAGTAACGCGCTCCGTTACTTCCGGGTTGCCGCGGAGTGCAACTCGACCGTATTCTCGACCGTATTCAACTCGAACCGTATTCAAGAAGGACACTGACAAACTGCAACGTGTCCAGAGGAGGGCAACCAAAATGGTCAAAGGCCTGGAAATGATGCCTTATGAGGAACGGCTAAGGGAGCTGGGCATGTTTAGCCTGGAGAAGAGGAGGTTAAGGGGTGATATGATAGCCATGTTCAAATATATAAAAGGATGTCATATAGAGGAGGGAGAAAGGTTGTTTTCTGCTGCTCCAGAGAAGCAGACACGGAGCAATGGATCCAAACTACAAGAAAGAAGATTCCACCTAAACATTAGGAAGAACTTCCTGACAGGAAGAGCTGTTCGACAGTGGAATTTGCTGCCAAGGAGTGTGGTGGAGTCTCCTTCTTTGGAGGTCTTTAAGCAGAGGCTTGACAACCATATGTCAGGAGTGCTCTGATGGTGTTTCCTGCTTGGCAGGGGGTTGGACTCGATGGCCCTTGTGGTCTCTTCCAACTCTATGATTCTATGATTCTATGAACCCGAGGTATGACTGTACAGTCGCTTCTACAGCACACCAATCTAGTGCCTAGGCAGCTGTTCCCAGGTCCATATTTTGGGGAGCAGTTGCATCAACTGGGGACCACCAATTTATGTACCTCCCCGCCCCACGGGCTGCATGCTAGGAACTGTGCCTGCATGGCAACTCCCTCTGCCCTGCCCTTTTCAGTCCCCTTCTGGTTCTGGGAGACAAGTGGTGCAGGAGAGGGTGGCCCTTCACTTGCCTGGCCTGCCTCTTCCTACCTTGTAGCTGGGACAGCTCAGTCTGTACAGCATGAGACTCTTAATCCCAAGGCCATGGGTTCGAGCTGCACGTTGGGCAAAAGATTCCTGCATTTTCCCTGTGAAAATCTAGGAGAACCCCTTATTAATTCTATCTACCGTATTTTTCCATCTGTAAGACGTCCCCATGTATAAGACTATTTTGGGGGACTCAGATTTAAGAAAATGGGGGAAGAAGGCCCTGTGTATGAGGAGAGCGCAAAATATGGTCTGAAACTCAACATCCGAAAAACGAAGATCATGGCCACTGGTCCCATCACCTCCTGGCAAATAGAAGGGGGAGAAATGGAGGCAGTGAGAGATTTTACTTTCTTGGGCTCCATGATCACTGCAGATGGTGACAGCAGTCACAAAATTAAAAGACGCCTGCTTCCTGGGAGAAAAGCAATGACAAACCTGGACAGCATCTTAAAAAGCTGAGACATCACCTTGCCAACAAAGGTCCATATAGTTAAAGCTATGGTTTTCCCAGTAGAGATGGATAGAAGTGAGAGCTGGACCATAAAGAAGGCTGATCGCCAAAGAATGGATGCTTTTGAATTCTGGTGCTGGAGGAGACTCTTGAGAGTCCCATGGACTGCAAGAAGATCAAACCTCTCCATACTTAAGGAAATCAGCCCTGAGTGCTCACTGGAAGGACAGATCCTGAAGCTGAGGCTCCAATACTTTGGCCACCTCATGAGAAGAGAAGACTCCCTGGAAAAGACCCTGATGCTGGGAAAGATGGAGGGCACAAGGAGAAGGGGACGACAGAGGACGAGATGGTGGGACAGTGTTCTCAAAGCTACCAACATGAGTTTGACCAAACTGTAGGAGGCAGTGGAAGACAGGAGTGCCTGACGTGCTGTGGTCCAGGGGGTCACGAAGAGACACGACTAAACGACTAAACAACAACAAAATTTTTGACATTACAGTGGTACCTCACAAGACGAACGCCTCGCAAGACGGAAAACCCGCTAGACGAAAGGGTTTTCCATTTTGGAGGCGCTTCGCAAAACGAATTTCCCTATGGGCTTGCTTCGCAAGACGACAGCCCATAGGGAAATCTCCGGGACAGCGGGGAAGCGCAGCGCGTCTTCCCCACTGTCCTCGGACCTCCTCCGAAGCCTGGCGGCAAGGCGGGGACACCTCCTCCCGCCGCCGCCGGGCTTCGGAACGATGCCCCATGCCGGGCGGCGGGGCGGGAACGCCTCGCCCCGATGCCGGGCGGCGGGGCGGGAACGTCTCCCGCCACCGCCGGGCTTCGGAACGATGCCCCGATGCCGGGCGGCGGGGCGGGAACCTCTCCCCCCGCCGCCCGGCATCGGAACGATGCCCCGATGCCGGGCGGCGGGGCGGGAACCTCTCCCCCCGCCGCCCGGCATCGGGACGATGCCCAGATGCCGGGTGGCGGGGCGGGAACCTCCCCCCCCCGCCGCCCGGCATCGGGACGATGCCCCGAAGCCGGGCGGCGGGGCCGCGAAGCCTAGGCACGCTGATCTCAGCGCGCGCAGGCTTCGGCATGCCGGCAACTCTCCGCAAGCAGCGGCAGCGCTGCCGCTGCTTGCGGAGAGGTCCGCGAAGCCTTGGCCGGACAGCTTTTGAAGGCAGGCGGGGGGGGGAGCGAAAGTCTTTGTCCCCCCTGCCTGCCTTTAAAAGCCCTCCCGGGAGAGCGGAGAAACGCGCCGCGTTTCTCCGCTCTCCCGGGAAGGCAGGCAGGGGGGAGCAAAGACTTTTGCCCCCCGCTGGCCTTCAGAAGAGGTCCAGGACCTCTTCTGAAGGCTGGCGGGGGGCAAAAGTCTTTGTCCCCCCTGCCTGCCTTCCCAGGGGCTTTTAAATCGCCCCGGACAGCGGAGAAGTCCTCCGCTGTCCCGGGGCGATTTTAAAATGCCGCCCACCAGCATTTTAAGATCGCCCCGGACAGCGGAGAAGTCCTCCGCTGTCCCGGGGTTTTTTAAAATGCTGGGGGTGGGAAGAAAAGCCCTTGTCCCCCCCCCCCAGCCTTCAGAAGAGGTCGGGGGACAGACTGTCCCCGGACCTGGTCTGAAGTCGGTTTCCCTAGGAACGCATTAATTGATTTTCAATGCATTCCTATGGGAAACCGTGCATCGCAAGACGAAAAACTCGCAAGAAGAAAAAACTTGCGGAACAAATTAATTTCGTCTTGCGAGGCACCACTGTATTCTTTAGGGAAAATACCGTATTTTTTGCTCTATAAGACGCACCAGACCACAAGACGCACCTAGTTTTTGGAGGAGGAAAACAAGAAAAAAAAATATTCTGAATCTCAGAAGCCAGAACAGCAAGAGGGATCGCTGCGCAGTGAAAGCAGCAATCCCTCTTGCTGTTCTGGCTTCTGGGATAGCTGCGCAGCCTGCATTCGCTCCATAAGACGCACACACATTTCCCCTTACATTTTAGGACGGAAAAAGTGAGTTATAGAGCAAAGAATACGGTTCCTAGTCTTATGCACGGAAAAATATGGTATATCCCGCCTGATAGATATCAGCAGCCATTATTCCAGGTGGCCCTGTACCTTGAGCTATTAGACATCTGTCGCAAGACAGCCGGCCGGCTGTGTATCTAGCCTTACTAATAATGCGATCTGCGTGTGACATTTCTCTCCTCCTGCCCGCTCCACAGTTAATATTTAACCGTGCCAGGGGCTGATAATGTGCTGGGTTGGGAGCCTAGAGCCTTCTGTACGCCGCAGATCAGTTCCCCCACCCATCCGTGGTCATTTGCTACCTCCCAGCAGAGGCCGACCAAGATCCCGACGTCTTTTGGAGACCACGCTGTGACCAGCCGGAGGAAATGACCTGCTTCCTCTGGTGGAGTCTTTGAACCCAGCCGAGCCAGATTCCCCTCTCTGGAAGGCAGCCTACGCTACGGACTTTGTGGCCATTGAAGGTACCGTGGAAAGCATTTCTGGGGAGGGCGAGAGATGTGTGACAATCGAAAACTTCCATCCAGATTGTGGACAAGGGCCAACGCCTTGGGTGTGCGGGGTTCGTTGGGAAGCAAGCACAAGGGAGATGAAAAGATGGGGTTGTTGTTGTTGTTTAGTCGTTTAGTCGTGTCCAACTCTTCGTGACCCCATGGACCAGAGCATGCCAGGCACTTCTGTCTTCACTTCTGGGGTGGCAGAAATTAATGCAAGGGTTTGGGGAATTCAGTAGGGGAACTTTCCAGGCATCAGATGACTGCTTGTGGAGGCAGGATTTGGGTGTCGAGAATGCCTGAGATGGACAAGAAGGACCCTTGTTGGCTAACAGAGTCTCACCACTGGAGAGACTTCCTCTTCTTCTTCTTCTTCTTCTTCTTCTTCTTCGTCTTCGTCTTCGTCGTCTTCGTCTTCTGAATCATAGAATCATAGAATCATAGAATCATAGAGTTGGAAGAGACCACAAGGGCCATCGAGTCCAACCCCCTGCCAAGCAGGAAACACCATCAGAGCACTCCTGACTTATGGTTGTCAAGCCTCTGCTTAAAGACCTCCAAAGAAGGAGACTCCACCACACTCCTTGGCAGCAAATTCCACTGTCGAACAGCTCTTACTGTCAGGAAGTTCTTCCTAATGTTTAGGTGGAATCTTCTTCTTGTAGTTTGGATCCATTGCTCCGTGTCCGCTTCTCTGGAGCAGCAGAAAACAGCCTTTCTCCCTCCTCTATGTGACATCCTTTTATATATTTGAACATGGCTATCATATCACCCCTTAACCTCCTCTTCTCCAGGCTAAACATGCCCAGCTCCCTTAGCCGTTCCTCATAAGGCATCATTTCCAGGCCTTTGACCATTTTGGTTGCCCTCCTCTGGACCCGTTCCAGTTTGTCAGTGTCCTTCTTGAACTGTGGTGCCCAGAACTGGACACAGTACTCCAGGTGAGGTCTGACCAGAGCAGAATACAGTGGCACTATTACTTCCCTTGATCTAGATGCTATACTCCTATTGATGAGGCCCAGAATTGCATTGGCTTTTTTAGCTGCCGCGTCACACTGTTGGCTCATGTCAAGTTTGTGGTCAACCAAGACTCCTAGATCCTTTTCACATGTACTGCTCTCAAGCCAGGTGTCACCCATCTTGTATTTGTGCCTCTCATTTTTTTTGCCCAAGTGCAATACTTTACATTTCTCCCTGTTAAAGTTCATCTTGTTTGTTTTGGCCCAGTTCTCTAATCTGTCAAGGTCATTTTGAAGTGTGATCCTGTCCTCCGGGGTGTTAGCCACCCCTCCCAGTTTGGTGTCATCTGCAAATTTGATCAGGATGCCCTTGAGTCCATCATCCAAGTCGTTGATAAAGATGTTGAATAAGACCGGGCCCAAGACAGAACCCTGTGGCACCCCACTAGTCACTCTTCTGGCTTTTTCCCCAACCAGAATTCACTGGAACTCTGTTCCAACACCTTTCTGGTGGGCACCATTGCCATTATAAGGGTTCGTGGTGAGTTCCAGCTCCTCTTTTTCTAGAAAAATAGCCATTATTGTTATTATTTATTACAGTCATACCTCGGGTTGAAGTTGCTTCAGGTTGAGCATTTTCGGGTTGTGCTCTGCAGCGACCCGGAAGTAACAGAACGTGTTACTTCCGGGTTTCACCACTCGCGCAAGTGCAGAAGGTCAAAATGACGTCACGCGCATGCGCAGAAGCGGCGAAGCGCGACCCACGCATGCACAGACGCGTGTATCCAGAGGTACCACTGTATTATTATTTTATCCACCCTTCACCCCAAAGTCCCAGAGTGGGTTACAACAATCAAAACACAGTTAAAAGACAGTTTAAAACAACTCAGAACTACAGGAATGAGATGCGTCCGTAAACTATGCATCAAAAGCCAGGGTGAAGGGAAGTTGAAAAAAAGGGTGTGTGTGGAACAATTCAGGGCGGGACTGTACCACCTCAAACCATATTTGGTTGTTCCCACCATATTAAGCTCTTAAGTTAAAGGTAAAGGTACCCCTGCCCGTACGGGCCAGTCTTGACAGACTCTGGGGTTGTGCGCCCATCTCACTCTAGAGGCCGGGAGCCAGCGCTGTCCGCAGACACTTCCGGGTCACGTGGCCAGCGTGACAAGCTGCATCTGGCGAGCCAGCGCAGCACACAGAACGCCGTTTACCTTCCCGCCAGTAAGCGGTCCCTATTTATCTACTTGCACCCGGGGGTGCTTTCGAACTGCTTGGTTGGCAGGCGCTGGGACCGAGCGACGGGAGCGCACCCCGCCGCGGGGATTCGAACCACCGACCATGTGATCAGCAAGTCCTAGGCGCTGAGGTTTTACCCACAGCGCCACCTGCGTCCTAAGCTCTTAAGTTACATTGAAGGAAATAACCTGTTCAAAATGTTTCTTGAAGATGACATCATTTCTTGTACAGATTAGTTTCTGCGCTGTTGGGTTAGACTCTTAAGGTGGGAGAGGCATGAAAGGTCTCATTGACGTGGTATAGTCCCTTCCTAAAGTGCTGTAGACCTCTCCTCTCACCACATTTCATTACTGTCAAAACTAAACTGCTGTCGATTTTCTCTATTAAAAAAAATAGGGCCCCGTTTATTCTGAAACACTTGGTTCTCTTCCACCTTCAGTTCCCAAACTTTCAACAAACAGACTTGTCAAAATGGCAAAGAGGAGAATGGGGGACGCCCCTCAATCACCCACTCAAGAGGTGCCCACAGGAGGCTGCAGATAAGATTTTCTCTGCCAACCATTTGAGGACATGAGCTCTGAGGAGACATCAGTCAGAGAGAAGAGGCCTCCTGAGATGGATAGAGGTGAGGAACCTCTAAACAACTCCAGGCAGCTTCATCCAATGGGAACCTGGTCAGAGAATTCTGGGAAGTCATTGGGTTCTAGGTCTTCAGATGGCTTCTGCTCATCTCCATCAGCCAAACCAGCCTTCACTGGCACACCTCAGGACCAAGAGTCCTCTTCCATGAAGCCCATTAGACGCTTCATTCCTCCATCTTGGAAGAACTTCTTCCACCGCTGGCAGAGACAGCCCTGGACTGAGACTTCTCTCTTGACCTACGCTCCAGAAGACTTCAAACACACCCAGTTTTCTGAGCACCCTCAAAGAACCACCTTCAATGGTGAGGGGAGCTCCACTGACAATGGGAACGATTTTAAGGAACCCCTCTCAGCTCCCGCCACCCCTTTGGCGCCTGGGAAGACGCTGACTGCTGAGAGCCAGGGTGCCTTGTCGAGTGGTCCACCCAGCTACAAGGAGAAGTTGGAGACCTACGACCACAAATATTCCTACATGAAGTCGTGGCCTGGCCTCCTGAGGCTGATGGCAGGCTTGGAACTGATCTTAGGAGGAATGGTCTTTGCCTGCACAGCCGCTTACATCCAGAAGGACTACCAGTGGTCAGCGCTTTATGGTGGCAACTCTCTGCCCTACAATGGTGTCTTGGGCGGAGGGTATGGATACAATTACTACGGCCCGATGACCCCATTCGTGCTGGTGGTGGTCAGCCTGGTGTGGCTGGTGACCGTGATCTTGCTAGGCCTCGGGGTCACCATGTACTACAGGGCAATCCTTCTTGATTCTCACTGGTGGCCTTTGGCAGAGTTTGGGCTCAACCTGGTCATGTCCCTCCTATACATGGCTGCTGCAATCGCCTACGTCAACGACGTCAACCGTGGAGGACTCTGCTACTCCGTATTTGCCAACAACCCGCTCGTTGTTGCCTTGTGCCGAGTCGAAGGGGGGCAAGTGGCCGCCATCGCCTTCCTCTTCCTCACTATGCTGCTGTATCTGGTTGGCTCCCTCGTCTGTCTCAGGATGTGGAGACATCAAGCTGTCCAGAAGAACGCAAGAGTTCTGGTAAGACCCCACCATTGAGAGAAGGCAATGTTGGTGAGCAGAGGCTCCTCATGACCTCCCCTATAGTCATGGCCTCCAGAACAGTCAAGAGCAGGGCTCAGCAAACTTTTTCAGCAGGGGGCCGGTCCACTGTCCCTCAGAACCTTGTGGGGGGCCGGACTATATTTTGAAGAAGAAGAAAAAGGAACGAATTCCTATGCCCCACAAATAACCCAGAGATGCGTTTTAAATAAAAGCACACATTCCACTCATGTAAAAACATGCTGATTCCTGGACCGTCTGCGGGCCGGATTGAGAAGGCGATTGCACCGCATCAGGCCCCCGGGCCTTAGTTTGCCTACCCATGGTCAAGAGTTATGACCCACGAGAGAGTCAAAAAAAGGCAGCTGTATTTTATATATTGGGGGGCAGGTAAGTCCCACCCCACATAATGCATCGTGTGACACGGCACACCCATATCATTTGAATGGCAATGCCCATCAAATTTGGGGGGGGGACCTGCCCCTCAGATATTTTATGGGGGGGGCAAAGGGACCTCGGCTCCTAGGAGTTAGCTGCTCTGTTTGTGTTGATCCTGAATTGCAAGGGGCTGGACTAGATGCCCTTTGGGTTGCCTTCTTGCTCTACAGTTCTATGGTTCTATGCTCCAGCTGTGTGTGTGTGTGTGTGTGTGTGTGTGTGTGTGTGTGTGTGTATTGCAAAACACAATGCGCAGGATTCACTGAACAAGCCCCATCAGCAGTATCTCTGTGCAAGAACACTTGCACAGTGGGACTTTCCCCCCTCCTTCCCATGCTTCCCCCCCACTGAAAATTGGCTAATGGGACAAAAGAGACCCCCCCCCAGTACAGCACCCTAGAGGAGGAGAGAGGAATCGTTGCACCTGACCAGCTGAAATGCTCGTGCAGGCGAAATGTTTTGCCATAGTGTGATGTTGAAATCCACCCAGTGGGTTGTCTTTGGCTAAGTCAAACTCAAAAGTAGACTTAAGTCCATTGATTTCAATGGGTCTATTGTGAGTCTGACTTACAGCCTGCTGAGCTTTCACAAAATATCTTCAGCAAGCTGGAATGCAAACTTTGGGCATTGTTTGTTTGTTTTAAAATTAGAAATGCAAACCACCTTGCTGCCGTTCAAACTGCTAGCATGAAGTGGGAACCCCATCAAAGAAAAGGAAGGGCGTACCCAGCCTCTTCTAGATTATTTTTCTCATTCATTGGCTGGGGCTGGTGGGAGCTGTAATTCTGCAACACCCGGAGGGCATCAGGTTGGGGACTGCTGGGATACTTGGACCAATCACTGAATTTAATAAAAAGCAGTTTCTTGTGCTCATGACATGTTGAGTCCCTCAACAATAATGATGTCCACAACACTCTCTTTCCCCCTTGAAGGTTGGCCAAATGAACTACGAGCCTCCCTCTCGCCTTGTCTCCTTCCCTTCGTCTCAGCGAAAGGCCATCCTCTTACGAGGTACGCCTCAGCAAGTCATAGACCAGGATGAAGTTACTCCCAAGGAGAAAGTTGCAAGACGCGTTGAGTTCTCAGAGAAGGGCGGGGACCCAGAGGTGTTAAACTTTGCCATTCCGACAGGCCACCACCCCAAACCTCACATCGTCCCGGATTATGTGTCGTAAGTAAGCAGCAATGGCCCAGGAATGCTCAGGAGGTTTTAGTGCACCCATATTTGGACAGGGATATCTTATCTTCTGTTGTCTATGTTCTGGGAACCTCTAGGTTAGATTACTGCAATGCTTTATACATAGGGCTGTCTCTGAAGACGGTTCAGAAGCTTCAGCTTGGACTACTGCAATGCGCTCTGCGTGGGGCTACCTTTGAAGGTGACCCGGAAACTGCAATTAATCCAGAATGCGGCAGCTAGATTGGTTACTGGGAGTGGCCGCCGGGACCACATAACACTGGTCTTGAAAGACCTACATTGGCTTCCAGTATGTTTCCGAGCACAATTCAAAGTGTTGGTGCTGACCTTGAAAGCCCTAAACAGCCTCGGTCCTGTATACCTGAAGGAGCGTCTCCACCTCCATCGTGCAGCCCGGACACTGAGATCCAGCGCCGAGGGCCTTCTGGCGGTTCCCTCTCTGCGAGAAGTGAGGTTACAGGGAAGCAGACAGAGGGCATTCTCGGTAGTGGCACCCACCCTGTGGAAACCCTCCCTTCAGATGTGAAGGAAATAAGCAGCTATCTTATTTTTAAAAGACATCTGATGGCAGCCCTGTTTAGGGAAGTTTTTAATATTTAATGCTGTATTGTTTTTAACACTCAATTGGGAGCCGCCCAGAGTGGCTGGGGAAACCCAGCCAGATGGGTGGGGTATGAATAAATTATTATTATTATTATTATTATTATTATTAAGCTGGTGCAGAATTCGGTGGCCAGGATGCTCACCTGGCCAAGACGGTTTGATCCTGGTATGACTGCACTGACTGCCAGTGAGCTTCCAGGCCCAATTCAAAGTGCTGCTTTTGACCTATAAAGCCTTAAACAGCTCAGGACCGCAATAACTCAAGGATCGTCTCTCTCCATATGAACGTACCCGGACCCTGAGATCCTCCAACACCCTTCTTTGGGGTCCCACAAAAGGTCTAGAGCAGCCTTTCTCAACCTGTGGGTCCCCAGATGTTGTTGAACCACAACTCCCATCACCCTTAGCTAACAAGGCCAGAGCTCAGGGATGATGGGAGTTGTAGTCCAACAACATCTGGGGACCCACAGGTTGAGAACAGCTGCAATAATAATAATAATAATAATAATAATAATAATAATAATAATTTATTTATACCCCGCCCTCCCCAGCCAAGGCCGGGCTCAGGGCAGTTAACAACCAATAATAAAAACAAGTTGAATGAATACAACTTAAAAACAAGATTAAAATACAACATTAAAATATTAAAATGCAGCCTCATCACAGGAGGAGAAAGGAAAAAAGAAAGAGGGGGAGGGAATCAAATTGGCTCCAAGCCAAAGGCCAGGCGGAACAACTATGTCTTACAGGCCCTGCGGAAAGAAATCAGATCCTGCTGGGCCCTGGTCTCATGAGGCAGAGAGTTCCACCAGGCCGGGGGTCTAGAGGGTGGCAACATGATAACAGGGCCTTTTCTGCAGTGGCTCCCCGTTTGTGGAATGCTCTCCCCAGGGAGTTTCACCTGGTGCCTTCATTATATATTTTTAGATGCCTGGCAAAAACATTCCTCTTTAACCAGGCCAAAGAGAATTGTGCTCATTCATTTCACTGGGTCTCCTCTGACTGAGTTGGACACAATACGTTGAAGTTAACAGGCCCAAGTGAGTTGTGTTCATTCATTTCACTGGGTCTACTCTGAGTCTGGCTTTGATTCTCCTCCCCACTTCTTTTCTCCTTCTTGACTTTTTGCTGCATGGCGTAGAAAGTACCCAGCCATCGGAAGCAGGGATGAGCGTGAAAAATACAAGGCCGTCTTCAACGACCAGTATGCAGAATACAAGGAGCTGTATGATGAAGTCCGCACAGCACTGGGGAAATTCAAGGAACTGGAGGCGATGCTCTCCAAACTTCCTCGCCACTATCAGAACAAGAAGGTAGTTCTCAATACACATTGATGCATTTTTAAATATATATAAACAACAAACCTTAACCAGGCATTAAGTTTGCAAAATACATCGAACAACAACCCCTTTCTGAATTTTGCAATGCAGTTCTCCAGGCAAATAATGAGGACAGAAGTGTATCTACTGGAGCAAAGCGTCCATGAGAATGAATTTATGAATGAAGATAACATACTGCAAATGCATTGTTTTGGTGGAAATGTACATAGGAGGTGAAATTGCATGCAAACTTCGCACTTAAATGATGGCGAACTTTCATGAAGTTTTCAAAATATATATATGCAGCTTGTTGTTGCAAATGCAGAGAGCTGAATTTAAGTTTGTGGAGGGGAAGAAAAACCAAAACTCAGAGATCCATCCATTCTTAGCTTGGAGCAATGGTTCTGAGAGGTTCCTTTGCTGGCTTGTTTCAGTGAGGGGATTTAAATGCTTCTCTTTTCTCTGCAGGAAGAAAGCCGGGATTTCCACTGTTTGGAGAGATTACCAAAGCAAGAAGGAGGTAAATAAAAGTCAGAAGTGAGTGTCGTTTCAAGATTTCCCTAAGGCTGCAAATGGATCCCTAAGTCCTATTTAAAGCCGCCTCACACCACTTTAAACAGCAATGGCTTCCCTCAAAGGGAACCAGCTGAGGACCAGTTGTGGCAGCAGGATTTCCTGAGCCCAGCACACCGTATACCAATGGTGCTGCCTGCCAAGTGCCAAAGCATTAGTGTTTTCTCCACCTTTTGTTTTATAACTTTCTTTAAATGTAAAGGTAAAGGTACCCCTGCCCGTACGGGCCAGTCGTGTCCGACTCTGGGGTTGCGCGCCCATCTCGCTTAAGAGGCCGGGGGCCAGCGCTGTCCGGAGACACTTCCGGGTCACGTGGCCAGCGTGACGAAGCTGCTCTGGCGAGCCGGCACCAGCGCAGCACACGGAAACGCCGTTTACCTTCCTGCTATAAAGCGGTACCTATTTATCTACTTGCACTTAAGAGTGCTTTCGAACTGCTAGGTTGGCAGGAGCAGGGACCGAGCAATGGGAACTCACCCCATTGTGGGGATTCAAACTGCCGACCTTCTGATCGGCAAGTCCTAGGCTCTGTGGTTTAACCCACAGCGCCACCCGCGTCCCATAACTTTCTTTAGAAGTGTCTAATTAGTATAGTCATAAAATTGGAGAGTTGGGAGGGATGCCAAGGGTCATCTAGTCCAACCCTCTGCAATGCAGGAATCTCAGCTAAAGCATCCCTGACAGATGCTTATACCTCTGATTAAAAACCTCCAAGGAAGGGAGAGTCTGCCCCTTTTCCGAGAGAAACCGTTCCATTGTTGAACAGCTCAGACCACCAGAAAGTTCTTCCAGATTTTTATTCGGAGTCTCCTTTCTTGTAACTTGAACCCATCGGTTCAGGTCTTCCCCTCCAGCGCAAGAGAAAGCGAGCTCGTTCCATCTTCCATGGGGCAGCCCTTCAGGTATTTGATTGAAAGATAATAATCGTAGAATTGTAGAAAGGGACCACAAGGGTCATCAAGTCCAACCCCCTGCAATGCAGGAATCTTTTGCCCAATGTGGGGCTCGAACCCACAAGACTGAGTTTAAGAGACTCATGCTCTACAGACTAAGCTATCAGTTTGGGGCCCCAGCTGGAATGGGGCCCTATACATGTGTACATTCCTCCCTGTCAGCAGCCCTGGTGGGAACTGTAAGTTGGTACGGATGCTGAGATTTGCTAGGAGACACCTCATTTCTGTTAGAATTCCTGCTCCGTGATTGCAGACATGGGATTGTTGTCTATCACATGACACTGCATGTTATGACTCCACAGAGTGGGAAGTGACGGAGACAGGATGTTTGTGTTACTGTGTTCCGTGAAGTGGGACTATTGTCCTTTGTTCTTTTTCTCTCTGCTGTCTGATGCTAGAGAGAGAGGGAGCCATGTTGCAGTGCTCCGTGTAAATAAAGTAGATTAGCCAAAATGCTGAGTTGCTGAGGTCTGTCAAGCAAGTTGCGAAGATTCTGTGGATCCCTAAGTGTGCCGGTGTCGGTTGGCATCGGTCGCTGTGATGTTTGGGCTGAAGAAAGCTTTTGAAGCTCCCGAACGAAAGACCAGGAGGGAGAGAACATGCCAGTCGGGCAGGGTCCTACTTGAGTGTAGGCTGAGCTCCTGGCAACTGCTCCTCCCAGAGCTACGATTCCCATAGTGGTTTAACAGTCAATCCCACTTTCCCAGGCAGCGCTGGGAATTGTAGTTCTGTGAGAGGACTCTGACCTGACTACAATTCCCAGGATTCTGGGGGGGGCATGAGTACGAGCTGCCCAAGGGAAGAGGCTGGCAGCAGCAGCCATGGAGAGAGAAACAAGGGGGTGCTCCCTCGCAGCCGCAGCTTTCTCATCCTCCTCCCCAAGCTTGGCACTGGTGGGAGAAATAATAATAATAATAATAATAATAATAATAATAATAATAATAATAATTTTTTATTTATACTCTGCCCTTCCCAGTTCAGAAAACCGGGCTCAGGGGCAGCCAACAACAAATTTAAAACACTTAATTGATGCAACAAAAAAACAGCATAAAATACAGTATAAAACTTGAATAACAATAAATTCAGAATTCAAAAATCAATTTAGGGGGGAAATCCATCCAATAAGCATTAGATGATCACCAGGGCTAGCTGGCTAAATTAGTCCTGTTTGGGCCAGCGAGGAGACCAGGGGAGAATTAGCTGCGGGATCCCAGAGCGGGTGATCTTCATAAAAAGTGGAAGGGGAGGGGGGGAGGAAGGGGAATAAAAGATCAGGCTGAATTCAAATTAAAGGCCAGGTGGAATAGCTCTGTCTTACAGGCCCGACGGAAGGAGGTTAAATCCTGCAGGGCCCTGGTCTCCTGGGACAGAGCATTCCACCAGGTTGGAGCCATCACTGAGAAGGCCCTGGCTCTGGTGGAGGATAGTCTGACTTCCTTAGGGCCTGGGACCTCTAAACTATGATTATTCATGGACCTTAAGGCCCTCTGTGGAGCAAACCAGGAGAGGCGGTCCCGTAAATACGAGCGCCCTAAGCCACAAAGGGCTTTAAAGGTCAAAACCAGCACCTTAAACCTGACATTCTGGGATCGAATCAGGAGTCGGGATGGCTTTCGTAACTCCGGCGCTGTCCCTGGAAAACTGGGTGGGTATCTGGTTCCCACTGCAAATGCATTTTGATGTGTTTCCGTTTCCCCCATCTCTCTGCCCACCCTGCAAATTTCAGGACCCAGCTTTCCTGGAGAAGCAGGAGCGCTGCGAATACCTCAAGAGGAAGCTGACCCACATCAAGGCCCAGATCCAAGCCTACGACCAGAAGACCAGCCAGGGCTCTGTGTACTTCTAAAGAGTGTGCGAAGATGCCTACGAGCTGGCATCTCTGACTTGAAGTTTCTTCTGCAAGGAAACGGCAGCATCCCTTGGGTGTGGTTTTGTTTTTTTTACAGGGGTGGGCCAGGTCTTCTCCTTGGTCTCTTGCAAAATCCCTGGACACCCCACGAAACTCCACAAGGAGGAACAAGGGCTGAACTGGTTAGCGTTCCTAAGTTTTTGCTGAAAAATAAGTGAACACCTGCTCTGAGGTTTTCCAAATAGGGTGGCAATTTTATTTGGCCTTTAATTTGAATTCAGCCTGATCTTTTATTTCCCTTCTCTTCCCTCCCCTTTTATGAAGATCACCCGCTCTGAGACCCCACAGCTAATTCTCCCCTGGCCTCCTCGCTGGCCCAAGTAGGACCAATTCAGCCAGCTAGCCATGGGGTTATCTAATGCTTATTAGATGGATTTCCCCTAAATTGATTTCTGAACTTTGAATTTTATTGTTATTCATGTTTTTATACTGTATTTTATGCTGCTTTTACAATTAAGTGTTTTTAATTTGTTGTTAGCCACCCTGAGCCCGGTTTTTGAACCGGGAAGGGCGGGGTATAAATAAAAATTATTATTATTATTATTATTATTATTATTATTATTATTATTATTATTTCTGGGGATCATAGAATCGGAGAGTTGGAAGGGACCCCAAAGGTCATCCAGTCCAACCCCAATGCAAGGATCTCTGCTAAAGCATCCATGGCAGATAATGCCATCCAACCTCTGCTTAAAAACCTTCAAGGAAGGTAAGGCAAAAGGTACAGGAGTCCTGGATGGTTAAGTCCAGTCAAAGGTGACTATGGGGTGAGGTGCTCATCTCGCTTTTCAGGCAAAGGGAGCCGGTGTTTGTCCACAGACAGCTTTCTGGGTCATATGGCTTTGTTGTTGTTGTTGTTGTTTAGTCGTTTAGTCTTGTCCGCCTCTTCGTGACCCCCTGGACCAGAGCACGCCAGGCACCTCTGTCCTCCACTACCTCCCGCAGTTTGGTCAAACTCATGCTGGTAGCTTCCAGAACAGTCTCCAGCCATCTGGTCCTCTGTCGTCCCCTTCTCCTTGTGCCCTCCATCTTTCCCAGCATCAGGGTCTTTTCCAGGGAGTCTTCTCTTCTCATGAGGTGGCCAAAGTCTTGGAGCCTCAGCTTCAGGATCTGTCCTTCCAGTGGGCACTCAGGGCTGATTTCCTTCGGAATGGAGAGGTTTGATCTTCTTGCAGTCCATGGGACTAGCATGACCAAACTGCTACTGGAGACTCCACAAGGGAGTCCATTCCTGAGGGAGTCGGGTCCATTGTCAAACAGCTTTTACTGTCAAAAGGTTCTTCCTGATGTTTAGTGGGAATCTCCATTCTTGTAAATTGAAGCCACGGGTTCGAGTCCTACCCTCCGGAGCAGGAGAAAAGCTGGCTCCCTCCTCCACGTGGCAGCCCTTGAGATATCTGAAGATGGCTTTCATATCTCCTCTCAGTCTCCCCTTTTCCAAGCTGAACATCCCAGCTCCTTCAAACCTTCCTCATCACGCATGGTGATGATCATGCACGACCGTCTTGCTTGAATCCTCTGCACACCTTCCAGCTTGCCAAGATTCTTCTTAAATCATGGCGCAGAATGTGATTCAGAACCAAGAGGACTAGAATCTTTATTTGTGGGGGCTTCATTTTGAAGGGAAAGTTTGGCCGGCATTTGTTACGCTCAGGTGAGAGGCTGTCTCAGGAATCGTGGGGAGGGCTAAAAGCTGAAAGCTAAAAGCTACCTTTTCAGCCTTTGGGAAACCGAATGCCGCCATCTTGCTTGGCAGAGAGCCCTGGCAGGATCAATGCCTCCCCTGCCAAATTTCTCTCTCCAGTCTTCAAAGCTGGTGCCCCGCAGAGAAGGTACATTCCAGCCTTGAAGTCACAGAGCTTACGGGGCGGGAGTGATCTTGGCAAAGGCCCTGGGGGCCTCCTTCGTGAGCAAGGGGCCTCAGTCGGTGGAGCCCTGTTCCCACGTTGGAAGGGGGAAATCCACTGCAGTTTCAGACCTCTGAACGTATTATTACATTATTATTATTATTATTATTATTATTATTATTATTATTATTATTTCATTAGGCTTTAATGCAGGGGTCAGCAAACTTTTTCAGCAGGGGGCCAGTCCCCCATCCCCCAGACCATGTGGGGGGGGCCAGAATATATATTTTTGGGGAAACTGAACGAATTACTATGCCCCACAAATAACCCAGAGATGCATTTTAAATAAAAGGACACATTCTACTCATGTAAAATTCCTGGACCGTCCGTGGGCCAGATTGAGAAGGTGATTGGGCCGCATCCGGCCCCTGGGCCTTGGCTTGCCTTTTGTTGTTTAGTTGAAGCTGAGGCTCCAAGACTTTGGCCACCTCGTGAGAAGAGAAGACTCCCTGGAAAAGACCCTGATGTTGGGAAAGATGGAGGGCACAAGGAGAAGGGGACGACAGAGGACGAGATGGTGGGACAGTGTTCTCGGAGCTACTAGCATGAGTTTGACCAAACTGCGGGAGGCAGTGGAAGACAGGAGTGCCTGGCGTGCTCTGGTCCAGGGGGTCACGAAGAGTCGGACACGACTAAACGACTAAACAACAAACAACTGTTTTACGTATTCCTGCATTATATACCACTTGCCTGGGGGCTGGGGAAACCTCAAAGTGGCTTACAAAAAAATACCAACCCCCCCCAAAAAAAACCTACCATCTTAATTATAATCACAACAAGATAACAAATTAAAACTCTGACAAACTTTCTAAACATCTGGGAAGGCTTGTCTATACAAAAACATCTTCAGCAGGTGCCAAAAGTAATATAGGGATGGTGCTTGCCTGATGTTATAGAATTATAGAATTGTGGAGTTGGAAGGGTGGTCTAAGGGTCATTTAGTCCAGCCCCCGCAAGGCAGGAATCTTTCATCCACCGTGGGGCTCGAACCCATGACCCCAAGATCTCATGCTCTACATTGCTGCTAAACTAAACTATCGAGTTCTTACTTATGCAGTTGGGTGTATCAACAGTAAAAGTGCCCGTTTCCCGCTGATCAAAGCAAAGGGTCATTTAAACTTTTCAAACGCCGTGAAATCATTCTTGTTCATTTTAAATTATTGTGATAGTTTCCTTGTTTTATCCCTGTTGGTAAACCATTTAAAACAAAAAGCAAAAAACAAACAAGCGATGTGCCATGAAAGAAAACAAATCCGATCCGATCCCGAGAGCGCTTCTTGCACCTAGGGAGTCTCCCGAATCCAAGGCTGCAATTTTTGGGCACTTAAATGTTAAGCGTACAAATTGTTCCGGTTGACGCAGGTTTCCGGGACCCCACCGGCCTGTCGTGGTGCTGAAGGCTTGCAAGGAACAGGCATTCAGGGTATTAAGAAGCCTGGAATCCAGTCGCATTATTCGATAACACCTTTCTGGGGGGAAAGGAAGAAGAATAACGATAACTGGGCAGTGGTTTGGCAGACCTTTGGCTCACATTTTTTGCCATGACCGATTTGCAGAGACAGAAAGGTGGAATCGGGTCGCCAGGGTCACCTTAAGCGGTTGAAGCAGAACCCAGCGAGGTCTGGAATTGGCACCGGGCCCTGGAAAACAGTCTGCAGAGGGAGTGGAGATTTAAATCCCTTTGGCAGCAGGCCTTCCTGCGTCCAGTCTTGTACCAAGCACCACTCGGAGTCTGAAAAGTTGGCTCGGAGCTTGAGGAAGCAGGCAAGGAGTGTTTCTGGGGAGGGAGGTGGGGGGGTTGTTGTACACACACGGGAACAGATTTAACAACTGCACAGAGCTGGCAATGATTAATCTGTTCCTTTTCGGAGGAGCGAAGGAAGGGGCAGAAAATAAATAGAAAGGTGTGTGCTTCAGGGAGCGGGCGGGTGGGGGCACCTCTGGAGCCAACACCTTCTGTGGGGGGGGGAGAGGGTCACATGACTCACTGCTCCAAAGGTAACAGGAAGTTGTGGTGATTAAGGTAACCTTTGCAATCATGAGCTCCCCGGAGGCAAGGGAATAGGAGCCGTCCAGGGATCCAGGAGGGACGAAAATCAAGGTAAGAAAGAGAGAAACAACTTGCGTTGTGGGTGCCCCTCCTGCTCTCCTCACCCTTGATGAAATGATCCAGAAAGGGAGGGTTTGCTTTTTGCAGCGAAAACGTTGCGGGTCCTGGTGCACAGAGGGGTGCGTGCCATTAAGCTCTACTCAGAGTAGACGCTTTCGAATAAGGGTGTAGCTTAGTCAGTGTGGACAAGGCTGGGTTAGATGGACCGAGGGTCTGTTTCTGTAGAAGGAAACCTCCTAGGTTCCTGTTCAAACCAGCCCTTTGTTTATAACAATGAGGACTAGGACCTTGCTTTATTTTTTTGTGGTAGAGCACCCATAGACAACGGCATTGCAAAACTTGGTTTTTAATTTTGAAAGGCAGCTGTGATTCGGTTCAGGCATTTTTTTAAAAAAAGCGAAAATTCAGTAGGTTCCTCTTTAAATGCAAACTGAGATTCCTCACCCATCCCTAGTGGTCAGAGCAATGCGTTTCCTCCTCCTCTCATCTTGCTACAATTTGGGGAGCATCCGAGGGAAGTAAACACCTGTTTCGCATGTTCCCGAGTTCAAATCCCCAGATAGGTCTGGAGGAGAGTTTCTGTCTGAAACCCTCGAGAGCTGCTGCCAGTCAGTGCAGGGAATACTAAGGTCAATGGGCCCAAGGCCCATGTTCCTGTGACCCACTGAAAGTAATGAAGAGAATGTTATACATGAATAAAAATTTTCGAGTGCGAAAGGCAATTAATATGGGTTAATTGGCTTGCAAAAGAATTCACACCTCCGAATTTTGTAAAGCAGTTCTCCCCCTGAGTTGTTGCTGGCATCTGAGAGACAATGGAGTGCGCCTCCAGGGGTGAATTCAAACCACTCAAGTGATGTCCCTGGGGTGCAAGTCTGGGCTGTGTGTCTGGAGGTCCTGGGCTGCCCCAGGTGAAAAGACCCCCCTCTCAGCTTCACTGATGGGGTCCAAAGGAAAGCCGAGCAAGACGTTTGGCACCAGTTTGGCTGCAGGAGTTGCCAGAAGGAGTTGCGTACAAGGCGCCATCTAAACACTTTAGGGACTCCACTCTGGATCTGTGGGGGTTTAATCCTTTGCAGCAGAGGTTGAGGACCAGAGTTTTCCTTCTCCAGCTGAGTAATGCATATAAAAAATGTGCAAAATGCACCAAAGAATTTTTTATTTTTATTTTTTTAAAAAAGCATTAGAATTCATTCTATTAAGGGAATTGCTTTGCACAAATGTGTCTATGGGGCAGAAATTGCATCAAAAATGTG